AATACAACAACCACAAGGAAACGATAACACAAGCGCTCGAAGTTGATGTGCGCTGCGCTTCGGAGTTAAATATTGGTATGTTCCCGTACTGCAAGAATCTACTATTTTTACTCCGATAACACTTTTTTCCTTTATGATATCGAAGAAAATTCTTGCAGTACGGGAACAGACCATATATTTTAACTTTTTGCGTGCGTTAACGCGATAACAAAGAACGCTTAACGCGAACATTCTGCTTAGCCCTTTATTGTGTTTCCATTCAATGTCGCTTATTCGACGGATTTTAACGCCCTCCAGAAACCTGTTTATTGTAATCAGCCGGCAGTTTTTAATTAATTCCAAAATGAAATAATATCGTTATTTTCCGAAATAATTTTGAAACATTAATAGGGGAGGAAGATTTCATTTTCATAATAATTCCGTATTCATACAACTAATATTTTTGGGAGGAAATGTAATTATTTTTTCCGTAAGGAGTGTATTTTGGTTTTTAATAAATTTAGATTTTAATTATAATGGAAACCCTTCATACCCTTCAAAAATATCCCCATTTATTACATATTATAAACACATTAATTATGTTTCCGATGACATGGAAGATTGCGAAAGTTATTCCAATATTGAAGAAAGATGTAGGCTGTCCTAACAGCTATAGACCAATATCCATCATGACAATATTATCAAAAGTTTATGAACATATTTTGAAAATGCAAGAATATGTAGAGGAAAAATCCCTTTTACATGATAGTCAGTCGAGATTTCGACCTAATCGTAACACAACTTCTGCACTTATTGGTTTAACTGATGAAATCAGAAAATGTAGTGTCGGTAATAAATGTTGTGTCCTACTTTCTTTAGATCTCGAAAAAGCGTTTGAGCGAATAGACCATACAATTTTGGTTGAAAAATTGTTGTATATGTTTAGATTTTCTTCGTCTGCGTGTAATTTAATATACTCATACTTGACTGGTAGGAGTCAATATGTGTCTTGTAAGGGAAATACGTCAAATATTCTTCATGTCAGAAGTGGGGTACCACAGGGATCCGTCCTGGGCCCTCTTCTGTTTGTTATGTTTCTTAATGACCTGTTTTATGCTATTGAGAGTACTAACTGTTGTCCGTTTGCGTTTGCTGATGATGTCCAAATTCTGTTCACAGGCGAGTTAGATGTACTTAATGTTCTACAAAGCGGTGTTAATTCTTCTTGTGATAAAATTACTACATGGGTGTCTTGTAACAATCTCACCATAAATACCAGTAAAACTAAATCCATGCTATTTGGAAATTTTAAAAATGATTTTATTACAATCTCATTGTATAATATGCCGGTTGAGGTTGTGAACAACTTGAATTGCCTTGGTGTAGTTCTGGATGACAAACTGTCTTTTTCCGCTCACATAAATTCAATTATTTCAAAGGTTTATCTTAGTCTGCGAAAGCTTTACAATCTAAATTTATCACTTCCATTACATATTAAAACTAAAGTTGTCTATGCTATTATTATGCCAGTGATTTTGTATTGCATAGAAGTATACTCTGGGACAGTAGGTATTGTCATGAGAAAGTTACGTGGGGTGTTGAATAGTGTTGTACGGTTCATATATTCTGTTAAAGGTCGACAACACTTGTCCGGGTATATTATCCAGTTTTTAGGGTGTTCTTTTTTCACTTATATTAATATTAGATTGCTGTTACATTTTTGTAGAACACAAAAATGTATGAAACCTGAATTTGTGTGCAAATTATTCAGTTTTGGAAGATCTGTTAGAAACCCACAGATCAAAATTACACGCCTATCCTCCTACTTAAGTCAAGCATTTCATGTCAGAGTTGCGCGTCTTTATAATTGTTTACTATCTTCATTAAAGTCTTTTTCGTTATGTACTAAAAGTTATAAAAAAAACTTCTGGATCATTATTTAACTCTTTAATACATATTATACTTTTTAATATTTACATAACTGTAAGTATTGTATAAGACAATAATATTTTTTGTATGTTGTCCTTTCTTAAATATATATACTTTTATCGGTTTCAATTAACTGATAATTAGTGTTCTTAAGAGAGGACGCTATTATAGTAGTACGAATCAGGTTTACTTTTCGTGAAGCATATATATGTTTTTATTTGCGTAATTGGGATATTAATATTAATTTTAATTTTTAGGTCTAATTTTAATTATTAAGATTTAATTATTATATTATTTGTCATAAGAATCAATGTTGTGTAGATTGCTTGTACCAATACAAAATGGGCTAGATAGCCTGGTAACAAGTCTTTGAAAATAAATAAAAATAATAATAAATCAGCTGTTTGTGTCAAGCGAGAGATTCGTTCGGAAAAATGCAACACAAACCTTAGTATCCATTTAAAATTGATATTTATTGATTGTTTCATCTTATTTTTGTGATTTTTAACTGATTAAACTCCTTGTACATTAGAACTTTTTACCGGGTTAACCTATTTTATGAGGATTTATTTGACGTATATGCAAAGGAATTGACAATTGAAACCCATTGGGTTAACGAAATACGGTTAAATGTAAACGCACTATTAGACGCAATTATTTTGTATGTCTTAAATAAATTACTCAATTATGGATGCAAAATTTAATTGTAATGGGTTAATTTTAGTGATTTTCGATTAGATATGAAGCACTTTAAAAAAAACTATCAATGGTTCAGTCTGCTATCAATACTGCTGACAAAACAAGAAGAAGATAAATGTTGACGTTGTTGCATTTTTATGAGACTTAAATTAAACGCCGATGAATGTATTTCATCATCTCAATATTCTTTATTCTGAAATAGGGATACGTAGTCGAGCGCAAATTCGACTTTTACACTTTTCAATTTTTGTCCCAGATCAAAAACTCGATTCTAGACTTTTCAATTTTTGCCTTTGACTAAAAAGTTTTTTCGATTTTGTCAACCTGTTCAATATCGATTTTGACTTTTACCGAAAAATGTAAAAAACGACTCAAATTTTAATTTTTGATATAAATTGTTGGCAACATATATAATTGTTGGCATATTATCATAAGCCAAGATTTTATGAAGAAAATCGAAAGTCGATCTTGAAAAGTCAAATTCGACTTTCAAAATGAAAATAGAAAAAGTATATTTTTAATAAAAATAATAGTATGTGTATAAATCGCACATATTGATTTACTTATAAATATATAAAATGAGATAAAACGTCGTTAATTACGACCGTGCCAAATATTTTGGTTCTTGCGATCTATATAAGGAGCATAGCAAAAAAGTCGATTATGTTTTCCAAGGATATTTTGCAATACATAGGCCACAAGGAAAAGTAAAATACATTCACCTTTGAAGGCAAATTTTTATAAAATTAAAAAAAATGAGGGTGGTTTCTTTATATTGGGGTCACCTAGAAACATAGAAACCAAAAAATCAAATTACAGCCAATTCGGTTGCAAAACGTGTCCAGAAACCCTAAAGATTCTTTTTGATGGAAATCTGTTAACCAATTAGTACTCAAAATATAAAATAACAGATGCTTCGTTTGGAAAATGTGTCTGAAAATTCTGAAAATACCATTTATTTATTTTTTTATTTATTTATTTTCAAATTCATGATGCTTAGTCTTTCGACCTTAAGGCGGTAAACTAAATTAAAATGTTAAGTAACACAGTTTAATAACAATTATAATAAAATAAGTTTTAAGGGAGGTTTGTTTAAATTTTGATAAACTACTCAAAGTAGCAATTACTATGTACAATAAAACAAGTAAAATTATAAAACAATATTAAATATAAATATATAAAATTAAAAAATATTATTTAAAAGGGAGGGATTTAAACTACTCAAACTTCTTAAATATTAACATTAAATTGGGCAATACAAATTTAATGTGAGGTGTCGGAACTACTTACCTCTCTTAAGGGCTAAGCAGAATGCTCGCGTTGAGCCATCCGTCGCGTTATATGTTATCGAAAATACAACAACCACAAGAATACGATATGCGTTTGTGTTATCGTTTCCTTGTGGTTGTTGTATTTTCGATTGGATATAACGCGACGGATGGCTCAACGCGAACATTCTGCTTAGCCCTTTAACATATTTATAGTTAATTGGAAATATTAACAATTTAGGGATCAGAACTACTCAACTACTACCCTTTTCTAAACATTTCACTGAAATTTCATAAAAATTATTATTATTTTTTTTTATTTTAAAAAGAAATAGATGACAGAAAAAGAACATAAATTTTATAGATGACAGCCAGTTAAAATTGATGATTGTCATCTAAAATAGAGGACGTATGGCTACCTTATTGTCATCTAAAAAAGGGGACGTATGGCCACCTTATCAAAGATCAAAAGTCGACTTCGACTTTTCAATACAAAAGTCGATTAATCGATTAGTCGAAAATCGATTTACTTATCCCTATGAGTCTAAACGCAACCATAGAGTCTAGAGTCAGCGACAGTCGTTTGCCGTGTGTTTCTTATAGGCAACGGGAAATCGCGAGGGCTGACGTTCGCGTCTAGCGGCATGACGCTAGAATAGATTTTATTCATTTTTGCTCAGCGTCATACTCAATATTTCTCTCTTGCTCTCAATTGAGTTGCCATATTTTAGGTAAAAATCAACAGTGCTACCAAATTTCAATGAGAATTTATATCAAAACATATGGCAGTGCTGTTAAAAAAAAACAAATATTTTCAAAGATTGTGGACTTTTTTTAACGAATTAATAATAAAATGGAAGAAAAATATATTTTTCAATAATTTTCCCCAAGTTCCTTGACATTATTGTTAATTAAGTAATAAATTGATTTTGGTTTGCACAACGTAAAATTTTCTGTCAGAAAATGAAAACAAATAATTGACATTTTGTGCCGCTAACGCCAACTCTTTCGTTTGGTTTTCACGCCGACGAAAAAGTATGACGCTGACTCGTGACTCTCTGGTTGCGTTTAGACTCTATTCTCAAACACCGGTCATAATTTATTCGCTGGCTGTCAATTAGTCAAGTGCATTTCTTAAGTTTTTTTTCCGATACATTTCTATTGCATTCCATAATTATAAATTCCAATCTACTTCAAAGATGTCCAACAACAATAATGGTCAATGGGAAACTGTAACAAAATCGAAGAAATTTAAAAATCTCGAGAAAAAGGTTGTGGCCCACAAAGAAAAGAAGCGTGAAGAAGCACTGAAACCGAAATTAGATGAAATATGTACGTATATAAATGGGTGTTTGTGTGTGTCCATATTCTGATAAGTTGTAAACAAAACAAAGAGTTATTATTTTTCCTTTTAGTTGGAAATTCAATTAATATTTCTCTACATTCCATTACTGAAAGTGCATAAAGGGCAAACTATTATTGTGTGTCCATTCAATGTCGCTTATTCGACGGATTTTAACGGCGTCCAGAAACCTGTTTATTGTAATCAGCCGGCAGTTTTTAATTAATTCCAAAATTAAATAATATCGTTATTTTCCGAAATAATTTTGAAACATTAATAGGGGAGGAAGATTTCATGTTCATAATAATTTCGTATTCATACAACTAATATTCGCAATATCTGTGTAATGATGCACCAATTGTTGTAAATGATGCCACATCAGCAATTGCTGTAATAAAACTAGAGTTGTTTTTTCTGATACACAATCAAATATAAGCAAAGTTTGAATATTTTATACTAAATTGTGTAACCTCCGTTTCATTTATGATTTTTTCCCTAAACAAATAGGGGGTTTGTGCTATTAGTAAAACAATTTCTTGTTAATGGCATAAAAATGTAATGTCGAATTTTATATGAACGATATATGTACTTTTTAAAAATAGGGGGCAAATTATATTTCTGGGCAACAGGTTATTACATATTGTGTATTATGAGTTTTAATATATATTATTTTTATTTTCAGTGCCTTCCCATCAAATTCGAAAATTGCTCAATGAACGCGGCAAGGCTGGTAGCAAAGATGTTTCCCCTTCAAAATCAAATACAAGTACGAAATCGAAAACATCAACGCCCAAAAGAACAGTCACCAAGAGTAAAGATCAAACTGATACAAAGAAAGCGAAATCCGACCAGCCCAAACAGCCACCAAAGCCGAAAAGTTTGGACCAAGCTTTTAAAGCATTAACTCCAAAAGATTTTACCATTCAATTAGAACATTTCCAATTGTTATATCCCGGTGCGAAATTAACTTGGTTAAAAGCGGTAAGTTCATAAATTGAATAATCGTTTACCTTTAATAGTTTAACGTTATTTGTATTGTTTTGATTTCAGATAACCGGTTATATAAATTCGAATTTACAATTTGAATGTGATCCTGTTTTTTCTGGTCGCTCTACATCATATCCTGGAAATTTAGCTTCATCCGAATTTAAACAAACATTAATTGACTTCTTGTCATCGGAGGGTGAAGAAAATCTAAATTACTTTTTCCATTATACTCTATTGGAGAGTATGTGTACTGATTTAAATAACAATTTACCTGTTGTAGGGTACAAAGTAAGTCAATGATATTCAAATTTATATTCATTTATATATGTTAAATATGGTAGTCAAATGACTACCAGATTTAAAAGGAATTTTGTAAAATTTGAAATAAAGTTATAGTAGGTTTACATTGTACCGGATTTATTAAATCCAGTAGATCTTATTGTCAATTCCATTACCTATATGTCAAATAAATCCTCATAGAGGAAGTTTCACCCGGCTAAAAGTTCTAATGTAAATATAGTGTTATAAAAAAAAACTTTTTATCGATTTAAAACAAATATGAAATTTCGTTTCGACTAATACCAGCCAATTCAGGTTCATTTCTTCAATAATATTTAATTCAATATATTTTTATACTTACCGCTATTTATTTTATCTTTCCAGTTTATGTTACAATTAATAGCTAGAAATTGGCCACAAATTTGTTCCTCAAATATGGCCAGTACCGCAATGCTAAAACATTCCTATCAAAATCGTAGCAATATCTGCTTAAGTATATTGTGGGCGATAGGTCAAGGAGGCTATGAAAATCTGATGGTGGGCATAAGAGGTAAGCTGCAATTTCATTATGCAAAAAGGAGACTGACTAATTTGTAAATTTCTATATTTTTTGTTAGTGTGGCAAAATTTAATGCTTCCAAATTTAGAGATGAAAAGTTACTCTCGCTTTGTAACCGAGTACATTGAAAAGATTTTGAATGTGGCCACGGATCAAAGGTAAGTATTTTATTTTCATATAAATATACCAAATGTTAACAATAATTTCTTTTCATTTATTTTATCTCCTTAGAATACAATTGAATCAAAATGAATTCTTTGAAATATATAATGCTTTGAAGGCTCACTATCCTAGTTTACCCCGAGATTGCCAACAATCTTTAGTTAGAAGTTCGGAAATGTTTTTGGTATGTGTTTTAATTCTTTTAACAGAAATATTTGTTATTAATATTTATTCTTCAAATATAGCAAAAATTCATTAGGAATTGCAATAAACATGCAAATCTCTTCCTTACACTCCTACGCAGTATTGAGAATCCTACTAAGAGCAGTATTGAAACGAATGGTTGCCTTTCGTGTCTCTTACATAGTGATGAGGACTGTTTTAAGGTGTGGAAAATGAATTACAAAAAACAGTTGTTACCCACCATTTATTTGTTACAAAAAATTGGTATGTTCACATACTGTCTGTTAAGAGAAGATATTGGATTACATTTTATTTATTTTTAGAATATGAATTAGCTGAAAGTGCTTCATCATTGGCAATGTCTTCTGCATTCCATGATTTTCTAAAAGATGCTGTACAATTGAATGCTGAGTTGGATTCGGCTAAAAAGCGCGACCCAAATCTGGATACCTTAATAGCTCTAGTTGCGGTAAGTTTTTATTAAAGTATATGTTTTAATTATTGTGAATTTGTTGCCTTATTAAATTGCTGTTGTTGTTGCCGTTTGGTGCAGGAGGGAATATTTATGAACTATGTATTGTATATGGTATTATTATTATTATTCTCAAACCTATTATGTTCTGATATTATCTAAAGCAAGGGAATTTCTTAATCATATTTAGCGAAGTTCGGAGTAGAGGCTCTGTACATATTTTCCTGCTTACAAATAACTGAATACTGATGGAAAACTCTAAAACTAAAATGAACAAGCAATGGGGCAGAACGATTTAATTCTAAATACGACAGAGCAGCGTCTAACAGAAATAAAGATTTTTAAATATTGTATCGTAAGGGCACGAAGTTGATCGTATATCAGGAAGCGGTCAACTTGGCCCGACCACTTAAAAGTGCGTCAAGGTCAGAAACTGTGAATGTAAGGGTAATAGTTTTTATCCTCCTCGGTAGAGGTTTAAACTGCCTGTCGTATCGGTTCGCGAGATACCGTTAGAAAGTTAGCTTGTCTATGAATAATAATGGTGGGATATATTTCGGAGAAACGTTTTTAAATGTCTATCATTATATCGTAAAAAGCCAATGTACGTTCGAGATCTAATTTCGAATTTATTGTCCGTGACTTTATTGGCTTTAGAGCCGCATTGATATCCACATATATGGTCGCAGATTCCAAACATTTATCCCAAGCTCTTTGGCAAGAACGACTATCTACATGATAGCTAGCATCCATGCAGTGAATATAATCGAATTAGTATATTTAAGATAACGCTAATAATTCAATTAATAGATTATTCAACATTTAATACCACATTTCTTCTACTTAGGAAATAACACGATATTTTGTGTGGAAAAAAGGTTGTAGTTTTTAAAATTTCAGTATTATATTAGGATTGTACGATAATTTTTCCAGTAAAAATTACTCAGTAACTTATGTTGAAAGAACTTGCTAGCTCATGTGAAATTATTGAAAAATCTTTGTTATTTGAATTTTGCGTGTGAGGGCAGTGATCATTTGAATGATTAATTATCCATCGCTACAACAAAAAACTGATTTGAAAAACGACTGTTTTTAGAATAAAGACAAATGTCGCACCTTGACAAATTTGAATTTAATTCGCATATGCAAGTTCGCATCAGGGCGAAATAAATACAAGTTATCAACATACGACCTTTGTAAAGTCACATAGCCCAATATGCCTGATGAGCCGCTTCACAACGGCCACTTAACCACTCATTTACTGAAATTTTAAGTTATCAAAAAAATTCAGTAACTATTTGTACAATTGTTACAAATTATTGGACTGGATTGAATTATTGTCAAATAAACCTATTAATATAAAATATTGATTTAAACGTATTAGGCTTTGTTCCTTGCATATGTCATGCACATGTCATATTTGACATATCTCCAATACTTTGGTCCATGTAAATGTATTTCTGCCGGTCGTCACTGTTTCTCATATTTGACATATCGCCGAGCCACATAACTACAACACTGCCAACATTTCGACTACTCGGTACTCGATACATACATGACATATGGTTACTTGTTTGCCACATCACTGCCTTGTTCGAAACGACACTGGCAACCCTGCAAATGAATTTTCTTATCATCATTTTGTGTACTCGTTCATCGTTCGTGTGAAACAGAAACGAGTTTATATTCGAAAGGAAGAGGCGACGGAACAAATAAAACTTCAGTTTTGATTACAAATTTGTTAGAAGAACGCCGTCGATTTGTGCAGAAGAGTGAGAAACAAGTGAAGAAGTGCTGGTACTATTCCGAAATAAAATAAAGGAATTTAAATCATCATTTTGAGTTGAAACGAAGTAAAAAAATCAATTCTTTGCAAGAAAAGCAAGAATTGACAGAAAAAATAACAAATGTGCAACGTGTTTTCGTGGAAGAAATGAAAATGAACTTTTCCCATCTTTCGTTGTTGGTTTGGTTGATTTTGTGTGGTGGTGGTTGGTATACGACCGAGACGAACGCAAATGAAAATGTAAAAAGAAGAAAAAAATTGATGAATATGTACAAAAAATGCTGGTTGGTGTCTAACTGGCTGCTGGTTAGAGCTAGTTAGTCTGATGGATGGATGGTGGTTGCAACGAAAATTAACGATTAAGCAAGCTTTCGATTTTGGATTACGTGGAAAATTCATTTTCATTTTTTTAAATCCCAAATTGAACTTGGAACTTTCTGCTAGCGCTGGCTTAAAATTCATATCTGAATGTTTCTTGTGTAATCGGCCGGCAATTTGATGTTTCGTTTTTTTTTTCTTTTTGTTAGTGTTGCGCCGCATCGGTGTTCGTTCTACGTAAGCCCGGATGGACACGTATTAAGTTTTTGTTGAATGAAGGGGGTGTGGTATTCTGAGAGAGCAATTTGTTGCCTTACCTTACTTTTTTGGTATTGTTGTTGGTGGTGTTGCATTGTGGTGTGACCACCATGTTGATCTCTTACCTTTGTGATATTGGAATGTTGCCACACATTTGAATAAATCATTTGTGGCTTATGTGGCATTCAACGGTGGGACTTTGAAATGTTTTAAAACTAGATTTTCATCTGATTTTTTTGTGTTTTGTTGACGTCATTTTTCCCTCTTAAATAATCTACTATCCGTTAGTTCTATGTTTGATGTTCAATAACCAACGAATAGATTCGAATTATGGGTCCAAAGCTTAGCGTGTTTTGTTTTATCGATCATCCGCCATAATTAGGTTATGTGGTATAGAGTCTATCTTTCAATATTCCCGTGTGATAATGTTGAAAAAACTCGAACTAGATGTTCTGTTGTGTATGATAAGCCGCATATAAGCCTGTGTTGGAAGCTGTGTGTACATTTTGCTCTACGTTTTATAAAGGTCATAAGTTCGCCGGTTCACTGAGTGACTTGTATTCTCTCTTGCCATATACCTAACAGATTTTGGTACTGGCACAGATAGTTATTTTTCTTGTTTTGTTTTCAAGAAATCTTCCTTAATACATATAATCATATCCAAGAGGATATTGTTTTACAGATCAGATAAAAATCTAAATTGCCCTCAAGCTGGTTTTTGTCGAATGTATTGATTTATGTCATGTTTATTGATATATTATAAAATTATTGTGTTATTAGATATACCATTTTTTATTTACACTTTGTCACAGGTGTTATTTTTCTTCACACAAATAAGAGTTCAAGGTTCTTTTCATCTTGCCGAAATATATTACTTTATCTAATCTATTTCACTAATCACATTTTGAGGCATATCGTAGCCTTTGGATTAGTATAACCCCAAGAACAAAAATACGTTCAAAAATTTATAAACTAATTTCATTGGCTAGGCAACAATATAACATCTCTATTGCATATCAGCTAGCATGGGTTTGACCAAATATAGTCTAACTGGTATCTTGGGCAACTATTTTATGCGTTTCTTCTTTTTTTTTTTTTGTTACAGAAAATAACATTTATGCGATACATAAATATGTATATATAAATGTGTTTTTGGCGTATTTTTACCTGTAACCATATCCACAAATGTTTTCTCTTTTCTAAAAAACAAAACCTACACAAACTAAACAAAAAATGCCGGCCGGTATTTCTTTTTTTATTGGTTTACAATAACAATTTAGTTTTGTTAACCACCGACACTAATGCTTGCCGGCCTGGCTGCCGGATGGTGACTTGTCTATATGTGGCATTTTTTGTTGTTTGGTTGTTTGAAATGAGTTCATGGCATTAAAAGAGAACAATAGCTAAAGATCAGTAAAGGTTTGAGAAAGAGAGTATAGTTTTGGGTAAACATTTATGTGTACTTGTGTAGCAATATTTTTATTTATTACATTTTTATCTTTTGGAGATTTTTTCAGTTCAATTCGTTGGCATTCAAGAATTTTCTTACTTTATTTTGTTGTTGTTGTATTCTTCTTTATCACTGTTGACACTGCAAGCAGTTGTGTGTAACACAAATTTACGATAGGCCATAATTTATGGAAATGTTCATATCAGCGCAATAACACCAAAACTCCATTTGGGTTTTATAACTCGTTGGATTTGAACGAATATATCGGTCCCAACCGATTATGAGGTACTTTTCACATCGGACGATCTCTACAACCGTAGTACTTCTAATAAAATATTGACAAACGATTTTAGGTTATTTGAAAGTTCCGTGCAGTACAATACTTTCCCACCAAATATAATTTGTCTACCCTCTGTTTTAATATAAAGTTTATATAAGAAACTAAATCATTAACTGGGGCTCTGTTTAGTTTTCATTATTCCGGTGTTATATAATTCAATATGCGCATTAGTTTTTCAATGAAACTGAAATAAATCATTGCAAATGGAATCGTTGTTCGTTTTTCATCTTCGTCAAGATCACTGTTCTTTGTTAACACGTTGGGGTCATCAAATTAGGTGGGAAATGACAGAAGACCTTATATATTGGTTATTTTGGAGCGCCAATTTCGAACCCAACGATCTTGGTCTTATAGACACTCTGTCAGACTAATTCCGCTAGCTATATACAAAGCGAATTTTATTGGGCAATATATCATAGAATTAAAATCTTATTGTTGACATTTTTTTCTATAACACCCCAAACACCATCTGACTGGAATCTTATTTTATTTTATAGACTTTTCAAAACCACAAGTTTTTCCCTTTGCTACTTCTAATAATAAAAACGCACATATGTGTATAATTTGAATGCCATTAATATGTATGTATCTCACGATTTGTGCCATTATATACCATTACGGGCATACACGACACAATATGAGGTAATAGACCAAAAACTAGCAACAAATTACTACATACACCCATACATACATTTTCCAAAAGAGAATTTGCAAATTATAGTTGTTTTTGTTTTGCCAACTATATTTCGATTGACGTTCAATTGCGACGACATGTTCAAAATACAAAAAGGTAAAATAGCAGGGAACCAACTACTAGCGATAATAATGGTCAACTATAGAAACAATTCTGAAATGATAGAATTTGTACCAGCATATCTCAAAATAAAACAGAAGAGAAGAAATAAACGCAATCGAAGAGATTTTTGACAGTCACAGTGCCACGTGTTGAAATGCTATTTGGCGCTGGAACAATGTTGCTGTTGGTGGTGGTGGTTGTTGTTATTGTGGAACGTCACAATAAAAACAAAACAAAGCGTAGAGAAATTATTTTCATCTATAACAACATGTATATAACACAGACTCTAGACAAACTTTCCAAAAAGGTTTTTGTTACTTTGCCTTTTACTTTTGTTTTAGAGATAACAGTATTGGCAGCTATGTGTAGTTGTTTTTCTTTTCATACAAGATTCTCTAAACGAAGGGGCATCATCCAAGTCGAATGTGTTGGCGTCTTTGTAACTATGAAATTTCTCCACTTGTATATTTGAAAGATATATTTTTATAATCATAGATTCATCTATAACAACTTTGGTGGGGCATACTTGTAGGTTGCACTTCTTACAAGCAACCCAAAAAACACTTGAAATCATTAACCTCTCATAAAGATTAAGCTATAGATTTATAGCAAAAAAAGAAAAACGAAAAACAAATATCAATAACCCCACGTCCAAAAATACACATCCACCAATCAGAATTGGGACACATCAGCGTTTCAGGTGTTGACAAAAACAAACATTTTTTATATTTCTTGTTTCTTTGATATTTCAAAATATTTAGATTGAATCTTGCTTTGTTTTAAATATGGCGGTATGTGTGACCGATGGTGTGCGACGTTGATAATTTTGATGATAATTTGCAATAGAAAAAAAATATTTGCAAATTTTCGTACCGGCTTTTTAGTTAAGCAGTTAGGGGGGAGATATAATGGGAGGCTAATAAAGGGGAAATATAATTATAATACAAATTTCTAAAATAAATAGGTACGTTGATTTTCAAACTTATTTGCCGTCTGATGTCACGTTTAATAAGATATTAGGTAGTTATATGCCTGAGATGTTATGTTACGAAAATTAATTGTGTTGGTAATTAAATCTTTAATTCTTTCGAATCACACGATAGTGTCACAGTATAATACTAAATACAGATAGCTCTCATAAATAAGTTAAAAAGGAGTTTCTCGCCTTTTCGTGGTGTAATAAAAATGATGCATCTCAATTTCATACTTGGTTATTCAATACAACCGTTATTATAATTCCTATATTTTCGATACATTTCATCGGTATTAAAAATAAAAACCCCGGTCATCATCCTTTTTTTATGAAATAGCTATTCCGTTCACTTGCATAAAGGGCCAACCGACATTTTTTTGCAATCGAACGTTATCAGATATATTTTGCTTTAGAGTGGACTACGATCTGAAACGACCAGAGTCATACTCGGCTAACGCCTGTAACCTCAGCCTAGACATATTTTTGGGCAGATGCCCCGTAAATGTATATTTTCGATGAACATCTGTTATTTATGTAATCGATATTTTTAAATAATTTTAATTCTTAGAGGAATTGGGTTAAAAACTAAATGTAATCGCCAGGCGACTGTTTCCCCACCAACCAATTACAACTAACATAATTAAAAAAAATGAAAATTGTTTCCACATTTGTTTTTTCAAAACTCAAAATGTTGATGTTAACAACAATGTTTAACAAAACACACTGATGGATTTTCTCTTATTCTTTTTTTACTTTCTGTAGTTTAAACTAAACAATACAAAATCATATTTTATACTCATCTAAATAAATTTTATAAATATAAAAAATGGCACAAAACACCAAAAGCAATAAGAACAAAAATAAGCAACAACAACAGCAAACAACAAAGGTAATAATACAAAAACAACAACGTATATACAAATTTCTAAATGCGCATATAATTTTTGTACTGATATCAATTTTAATATTTTGTTTAAACCTGATTTCATTCTTTTTTCTTATTGCAGGCCGTAAACACAAAGGCAGGTCAACAGAAAAAGAAACAAACTGCCGAAAAGAAAAAGAAATGCGGCTGCTGTAAATGGACTTTGGGATCTATATTGCTCATTGCGTTGATCGCCGGAGCTTTGTTCTATGATACCGAAGTCAATGGCAAGGGTGTATTTGCTAAATCGGCAACCGGTAAAGTTCTACAGAATGCCGGTCTGTTGCCCCATGTCGAAAAGGCCTGGTACACAACAATGAGTACAGCGGCACGCGGCTACAAATGGGCCGAGAAGACATTGCCACCCTATACTCAACCCGCCTTCAAATTGGTTTGTGATTTAACGAAATTATTCCGTAATGCTGCTTGCAATGCATTCACCGTCACCAAAGAAGTGATCAATGCTAAATTGCCTGTTGCAGCTCAATTTGTAAGTATAGTTGTTCATCACACTCAATTATGAAATCGTACATGTCTAAGTAATTAAGTCGTTATATTTGTATAGTTGATGACCGATACACATATACAAATGTTATGACATCATGATTTTCTTCACAATTAATTACCTTTATTAGTTTCTTTTTTTCTTTCCTATTCTCAAATATATTTTATTTCATTTTGTATGTTTATTTTAATTGTTGTTTTTTGAAGTTTCTTGACCTGAGTCAGAGTGTATTTGTTTATTATTCGTTTGATTTATGCTTGTCTTCCAAAGCTAGTTTAAAGATCGGTCAGTTTTTTTTTAAATTGTTAGGTATTTTTTTTCTTACTAATTGCCTCTTTGTTATTTTTCTAGAAAACAAAATATTAACGAAATACTTATAGAAGAAGAATAACAAGTTTATTATTAGAACAAAGCTTTGTTTTCTTTGTCTTAATCGGTCAAGACAAGGTGAAGAAATTTAAGAAGAATTAAAAAAATATACACTGATATTCAATTTATTTGGTGTTCAAGGTTTAGCCAATTTATAAACTCTCATATATTACATTTTTGATATAATAATAGTAGATATCACACAACCCCTTTTAGGACTGCGACTTTTTGCAAAAATAGATCTTAAAATATAAATACAGTCGAACACTTTTATAACCACGAACTGTTTTCTTTTTTCACAACGTTTATAGCGAAGACGGTTATAAGGACAAATTTTTATAACGAACTAATTTTTGTCACCTATACGTAGTATTTTCACTTTTCATTTCATTTAACAAAATGCATATATGGGCTTGACAAATTTTCGTACTACGTCTATAACGATCTAAATTGTCCGGTTACATTGAGTTGTGTTTTCGAATGTGATGTCCTGCGCATTCACTGAGATTATGATTTCTATAATACATGTAAACAATATGCCCATAGATTTCTTTGTAGATATTTTCATATGTTACGCGTGCAAATACTTTACAACACTGATAAAAATTTATCATCGTTAGGCTCATGATAGCACAACCGTTCTCATATATATGCCGTTTAGAGGGCGTAGAATAGTTAGATGTATGGTATCAATACCGGCTCGAGTGGTACATCAGTGTGCTATTTTTATGATGTACATTGTCAACCCCTGTAATATGGGTTTTTGCTAGATTTTACATTCCGAATTTCTAAATATTTCCCAAGTAGAGGTGATTTAGGGGGAATATTTGAATTATCCAATCTAACATTTCATGCATTTTGAATATGTTTTAACAATTTATAAATAAATATTATCCCTCAATAGAATTATCTACAACATAATACGACGTAGTTAATTGCCTACTTGAATGCAACGCAGAATAAACTTGTAGACCACAAACAACGCCTTCCAAATATTATTTATTATTTTCAAGCTTCAGTCCCAAAAAAAACATGTTTTAAATTATCAATAAAAGAAATAAACATTCTTTATTTAATAAATGCATTTTTTGTTTTGCTATTTACAGTTGGAGCAATACGTGCCCGGTTTGCCCAAGAAAATTGAAGATAGTGCCGTCACTGTTAAGACCGCTTCTGTTGATGTTTATGGTAAACTTGTTGCTTTCTTCAAGACACAAGTGTTGGTGTAAGTATTTGTATAAAAAATGCCTAACTTGTTGTAATATCAATCTAAGACATTGTTCCGATTTCTCTTTTACAGTGGCCGTTTCTCACCTGAAAACTTGAGCAAAGCTCTAAACCAAACACAAAACTTGGCCTTGGAATACTACAATCAATTCCATAAAAAGGTTGATGCTTATGCCAAACTGAAATGATTTCCTCAAACATCATCTCGACGTATATCACTCTAAACACACAAATAATAAACATTCACATCTAGAAAGAAACGACGGCGCAAACTAACATCCTTCGCATCAGCAGTCACATTTTTTTTGTATAAAGAATACCAAGCGAATCAAACTGAAGCAGAAATTGTAACATGGAAGGGTAATAATTTTAATAACCACAAAAGCAGTCACATTCAGTCAGTCAGTCACCCAACAGCCATATTTTTTAAGAAGAGAAGGAATAACTTTCTCTCTGTCTCCTCTCATTACTTTGTGCTCGGACAGAGAGAATTGTATGTGTGCTGTATTTGTAATTCTAGTTTATTAATTTTAAATTTACCTAGAAATGAAACCTAAACTAATGTAATGTAACCCAGGATTGCAGCATCCTGTTGCTGCACCACTTGCAGACTGCAATTTGTGCAAGCAGATGAATAATTTTATAAATTAATAAAAGTTGAAAGAAAATGTAATATTCCGATTAGATAAAGAAACCCCACAACAACACATATGAAAAATTGTTAATGAATTTTAATTGTAATGTAGATTTATTAATGATGATTTTCGTGAAAAACAAAACAAGCAAACACAAAAACAAAAACAAAAATAAATAATAAGCGCAAAGTAAGACACATTCAAATACCGAAGACTTTGTTATTTTGTTTGATGTTCCATAAATGATGATGAAACACCACCACAACCAACTACTACTACACCACCATCTCAAAACTTTTTATATCGACGATGATGATGATGATGAAGGACGACAGAGTTGGTGTTAATTTTTTTAAGTGCAAGTGTTTGTACTGTCATATATTTATTACATATACGGGAAAAAATAACTGGAGGATTAAGAGAATTGTTAAACTGAAGCAATTTTTTATAGACTTTTTTTAATTTATGTTTACTAAAGCAGCTTGCTATAAATTGTAACTGCCTTAGTTTATGATTTTATCTTACCTTCTATCTAATTCCATATTACAATTATTTTTCTTTTTAGCAATTTGTAAAACAAAAAATAATTGTAGAAAAACATTTGTTGTTACATACATATCTTCATTGACATTCTTTTCTTCTCAAAATATTTCGTGTCTACATTTCTGTGTTCTCTATCTCTTCTATCTCTATTCATATGTAATTTATGTTATAAAGTGATGATGATAATGATGAACCTATTACTACATTCGTTGCATCTGTGTATTCCAATTTCTGAACAAGCTTTAAGTTGATTGATTTTCTCATAGCTTATATATACGTTTTTATAGACTTTTTTATTTAGTTTTCTTTGAAATTTGTAAAATCTTTTTTTAAATAAAATATTGAAAAAATGTATAAATGTGTGTTTCTATATAGGGAGTTATTTTGGGAATAGCAAATGGTGGAATATATATATTTAAATTACTTCATTAAAGCATTTTTATTTTCATATTGATCTTCAGGTACTACTACATTTATATCGAACGACCGATCTCGATTACAATATACAAAATAAGTATTGTGAAATTTAAATAAAAATTAATAATTTATCATAAAACATATTTTTTTGTGGATTTTATTCAGCCTTATTCTGGATATTCGCTGGGAGATATCTCGCATGCACAAAAATTTTCGGTTTCACATTCTCGCCTTATTCTGAATGAATAGGGAGACGCAAAAAATGCGAGATGCGGATTCGAGTTTTCGAAAATGGTGGTTGAAAAAAGATTCGTGTTGCCATATTATAATTTAAGTTGTAATGTGTGTTGCCATATTGTATTTTAATTGTGTAATATTTTTCAATATTTTATTTATTGATTATTTTATTAAAAATTGTTACTTATTGTTGTTTAAACTTTATAACTATACAAATGTGAAATATCAAGAATCCGCTTTATAAATGCTTTGTAATTAAAAGAAAATTAATTAAAGTTTGAAAATATGGCAACCTACAATATGACATGTGAAACAGCTGTTCATTGTTTTGATGCAATTTGGTACAACAACTACAATAGATTACAAATAAAAGAACATTTTTTATGATGGCAAAAACACAGGCACATAATTGTGTGCCTTTTAATTTAATTTCGATATTTTATATCTCCAAATTCTTAAAGTGACCTACTCCTTTATTTCTTCATTTATAATATTCTAAATCGTCATAGAATATGTATTGTGTTAATATTTTTCATTAAAATATTTATAACTTATGTTTTTGTAGTCAACTCACTTTGAATTAATTAGCGAAAAATTTCGCACAAAATTTCATCTCATTCTCCTACTCCCTGTAATCCAGAATACCTAATTTTTCCCCAAAGCGGATTTTTTCGCTTTCGAACTTCATTCAGAAAAGGCGAAAGCGAGAATGCGAAAAAATTCACACAAAAATGTTGTTCAGAATAAGACGAAGGGGAAGAGCGAGTAAATTCACGTGGAATTGACATCCAGAATAAGGCTGATTATCTCTAGAAAACAGAAATTCTCAATTTAATTTTGCTAAAATACACAGTCCAGTCTCTCCTCCACAATACTGAGGCTACTCAATGAAGAAGTCTTTCCATTATAAATGTGAATTAAAATGAAACAAAAATTAACCCCAATACAGTTAAATGCCCTTTAAGAATCGAAGCGGTTAAATAGCTTCGGTTACAACGAACAACATTTACGAAGGCTACTATATATATTTCTGGCCTAGGCAACGCTATCACCCTTATAACGGTTGGCGTAGACGTGCCGATTTTTATGCATATTAAATGAAAGGCCCACGAAAGAGGTATATAAATCATGTTTTGTTTGAAGCCCCTCATGGAATTATTATAGTCCATTCCTATAACTGGCCTTTCAAATTTTTTGATGCAGGAATGAATGCGAAATCAAAATATTAAATCTAAACAAATTCTCCAAAAATTTCAATATTATGTCTTGTTTTTCAAAACTCCGTCTTTAAACCGTAAATATGACATTTTTAATGGTGTCAAATTTATTCTTAAGAAAATAAATATCTGAATGTGCATACCTGCTTTTATCAAGCAATCATATATCATAAATTGTAACGATTATAAATATTGATTGATATGTATTGCATACTTTTAGGCATTAACATTACTTCTATTCTCGAATATAAAGAGGTTATATGGTTTTCTTGTTTTCTTTAACAAAAATATACGTTTAGCTGTAATTACAATCGGTGATTTTTATTCATTTTTGAAGCCGATAATTATTTTTAAATAAAAATATTCAAAAAAAAAGTGGGATATTTTCATGAGGACGAGTTCGAAACAAGGACGCATTTAATAACAACTTTCGACATTGTTTTTTTTTACAACAATTTCATTTGTTTGTTCTGTTGTTTTTACAATAACAAAAGGAAATTAAACATACTGTACATTACCCGCCAAGTTATTTTTATTCGCAGTTTACAGTTTTTTGAAATATAATGAAATAACATAATATATTTAGCCAACAAATCTGCTATGTTGTGAACACAACTTATTTTTTTTTTTATTTTTTACCGTTGTTACGCCCACAATATCAAAAAAATAAAATGGTGGTCCACATTACCCGAAGTTACTCTATCCAATGCAAAGCGAATGGAATGTCCGTTTTGATCAATCTTTTCAAATCATAAATCTTTTCCAACCCTAGATTAAGTCAGTAGATGAGATCCATAGGTCCACTCCTTCTGGTACCTCCCCCACAAAGTGTTAACATTCTGAAAATGTCAATATCAAGCTACTGTGTGCACATCAAAATATTTCTTTTAAATTTAAATCAAGTTCGAAGATGGTGAATATCGCTCCACTCCCTGTGGTACCACCTTCATATAATGGTAAAAATTGTGCTGGAAATTAGTTTAATACTATCATGCAAACAAAGCGCCCGATTTAAACCAAACTTTGCACCTAATATTTGAATCAAACATGCATACTTTTGGAAGTAGGGATTTTTGTAAAATTTGTAATTTTTGTAAATTCAATCATTGTACATGATATTTTTAAAAAATCTAGATCAAGCCCGAAGATTGGGGTCATCGGTACTATCCTTTTGGTACGTCACCCAGTGTCAATGAGCGAGTGAGTATGTATCACTTAACCCTTTCAGTGTCAAAAATTTTTTTTGTCGGAATAAAAATCTAAAATTTTATACTTAAATCATATAAAGGCATAGATTTTAGAAGAAAAAGCAATTTTCATTTTAACCCTCGGACAGTTTCGTCTGTTTTTCAGCAAAAACAAAAACACAAATGTTCGCCCATGTGCTGCATTCGAGCACATATAGCCTTGTGGATTGAAAACGAAATGAGATCGTACGTGTTTTTCTGAGCACGTACAACTTGAAAAAGTACGCTAAAGCAATATTTAACGTGTTTTTAGAATATTTACTTAAAAATACAGTATTTACATTAGTTTTTATAGTAAAATTAAAGAAAATAAAAAAGGGCTCCTTTTATCAAAAACAGCGCGTAAAATTTTTGAGATCAATCTGGCAACTCTACCACCATATGATCAAAAAAAATAGAATCTATAAAAAATCTACTTTTAAGATTTCAAATAGTCCTTTTAATAATGTTTCTTGCAGATGTGTGCACTTTATTATATCGATGTTGACAAGATCCATGCTCTACTTGTTTATAGGGCGCCAAAAATTTTTTTCTAAAGCGTAACCACTGTCTCCTAGAAGCCAACTATTTTGCATACCATTTCCTCTTTTGTTAATGCTGTTTAGCTGCACTCATATGCCAAATAAAAGCATCATGGCTGGATCCTGGTCTGCAGCTGTGCACAGGTTGCACACACTTTGTCTTCCAGGACTTTCATTACTCTCCACAACATTCTACACATTGTTGTGCGATCAACACTTTTGCCACTACCGTCTGAAACCCACCAACAGCCAGAAAAATCGCAAAGAAAGAGAGAATTTTTAAATGTCGAATATATTCGACAAAAACACTGAAGTAATTAAAAAATAAGAGGTATTTTATTTATTTTTTTTTTGTTTCAATCATATGTATAAAACCCTTGAATTTAAAATAAAACCACTATAATTAAAATTTTTATTAGTTTTTTATTTTGATTTTTTTATTTACACTTATACAAAAAAGGATTATTTGACATCAATGCAAAAATATATATATTTTAACTTAAATTAGTTATTGTTGTTTGCTAAATTTAAAAATATTAATCAAAAATACTGCAATGAAATAATAAACAAAAATAAAATATTTATAAAGGTTAATTTGGATAAAATAAAAATGAACTGATATTTACATAGGCATTTTTTGTGATAGAAAATAAATTGACAATAATTTGCAAGTGTATACAGTGGCCCATAGATTATTTTATGCAATAGAAAATTACATAGAATTGTATTTTTAACATTGTGTGGCCAAGAGGTGATCTTTGCAGATATTTCGACTCTTTATAAAATTTATCATATTCCTTGCATAAAATAATGAAGAAGCTACTGTATAGGGTTTACATATATATTCTATTTGTCATTTTATACGTTTTGGATATTTATGTATATAAAATAGTATATGTCTATTGTTTGAATATTTTTGTATAAACATTTAGAAATTATTCTTTTGTTATATAGGAAATTATATTATTTTTGAAACAAAAAACAAATTGATAACAAATTTTGTATTTTAGCTTTCAATTGAAACAAATGGCACTTAAATAATAAAAAAAAAAACAGAAAATAATTGAACATTGAAACTTGCAACCAAAATGAGCTTAAGAGTGTTGTCTGTTTCAACATGGGATTGAAGCGATTGACATTTGAAATATTAAAATCTATGAAATGTTGTTCACATAAGGAGAGAATTTCAACCGATAGTCAAAAATAAACTGAGAATATTTTAAAAGTAAAATGGTTCCTCTTAATAATTAGGAAATTGCGAAGGTTTTTTTCTGAGATATTGTTCTTTTATATACTATATGAGTTTTTACATTCAATTTTGAAGTCGATTATTCCATGCTAATTACAGTACAACAATTTAAAGAAATTCGATCGAGATCAATCGGGAGTACAAAAATATATATATATGTATATTTATTTGGAGAGTAGAGACATAGTTTTGATTTTCGCATATACGATTTGAACATCGATCGAATTTCTTTATATAACATAGAATTGCAATATTTAAATCAGAATAATAATAAAATGAGAAAACTAAATATAACACATTTAACTATCATTTTCACAATAAAAAAAAAATAATAATTTCTTTAATAACATATTTTGGTATAGAAAAATATTTCTTGTTTTAAGAGCAAAATAACACAATGCCACGACACAGAATTTTATATCATTACAGTGATACAATTTAAAATGAGATCTCTACTGGTACTTTGATGCTGCGCTTTGTAAAATTCGAAATGAAGAAATTTAAGTGAGTCACTACCAAAGCGAAATTTATATCGTCACCACCCTATGTTGTTAATCTCAAATCGTCAGTGGATGAAAAGAATTAGGTTGTATTGAGGATCTGTCACAATGACATATGAACTATCTTTGTATTACAATCCCCATAATTTGTAACCTCATAAATCGAAACAAGAGGAATCTTATATATTTTAGTTTCCGAAAATTCTTAACATTTGCTAAATACATTCAAAATCATTTATGACGACGGTATCCAAAAGGCCTAAAAATGTTATCCTTTATTAAATATCGCTATGACTATTTGCAAACCACTGTACTTTCAATGTACTCCAAGTAGAAATCACAAACTGTATCACTTTTTCATTGCATATTTTTAGGCTGTAGCATATTGTAATTATTTTGTAAAAGTATAAATTATTAATTTTTATTGTTATTAATTATTTTATATTTTTTAGAAAAAAATGTTTATATATAGGAAATAGTTTGTATGTATATAATTATATAAGGTTTTTTGTTTCTATTTATTTCTTTTGTATATTAATGCAAATGCAGTGCAATGCGTTATTGCTGTATATAAATTGTATGAATGTTTTTTTTTTCATTTTTTATGTATGATTATGTAGCACATTATATATATAGTAAATATGTATGATTATGATATTTTGTTATTATTAATAAAAATTTTAAAATTATAAAAAAGTTTGTTTTTATGTGATGCATTGAAAAAAGAGAGATAAAAACAAAATTTATATATTTTTTCCTTCGTTTTCTTTGAAATGGGAGTGAGACGAATTAAATTCCCTAAACATGTGATGTGAATATCAATCTATCAAACTTTAGTTTTAATTTTTTTTTGTTTCTTTCTTATTTATGCTAAATTTCTAAATATATTATAACACATATACGTGTGTGTGTAACACTCAATAAAGTATAAAAATATATATAAAACAGAAGAAATAAAAGTACACATAAAGAAAAAGAAATTAGAAAATAAAAACAAAGTTATATAAAATAAAACTATAACCTATAAAAATATTACCACAATTTTAAAGCTTAAAAAATCTGTATATAAATATAACTGTGTGTGCATGTTTGTGGGGCTTTAAATTATTATTCTTCCATCCAAGCAGAGCCAGCCAAGTGTTTCACTTTCTATTGCAATTCCCACACAATTTTCCCGTTTTTTTATTTTGTTTATTGGAAAATTGCAGCTCTTTGCTGGAACAATAAACGCCGATTTGCTTTTTCCTCCTCCTGACGCCGACGCTCTTCCTGTTCCTGTCGTATTTCATCGTGGAATTTATTCGAACGCAGTTGTTGTTCAATTTTTGCCTCAAAGAAATTCTTAGCACCACTGACACCAACTTCTTCAACTGAAATTTCCGTTAAACGTGCCAACTGATTTAGACCCGAATCATTGTCCAATTCTCCGGCCTGTGCCTTGCGATAGATGAGAAGGAATTCACGGAATGAAATTTTTCCATCGTTATCTTCATCGACTTCTTTGATCATTTCCTTGAGACCTAAATGTGTTTGTGGAGCACCCAATTTTTCCATCATATATTTCAACTCGGTTAAATCCAAATAGCCATCGCGGCCGGTGTCGTATCTGTAAAAAGAGGAAAAAAGGAAAAGGGAAGTTTAGTAAAAATGAAGGAGAATATTATCTTATGTGCATAACATATGATTATCATAAGAGGACAGCTGTTTACAACTATTACATTAAGTGTGTACAATCAATTATTAAATTTACGCCAAAAATAAGCAACATCAGCTGATCGACATTAAGATTACGATTAAAGGTAAGTTTAAACAATTAGGGTGTATTTCTGGATTTCGTACTTTAAACCGAGGTAAATTCAGCTTGATAATGCATATTATCGCGATAAAAGCTGTTACCAATATATTTGATAAATTATTAAACAAAATTATTTACACATGTTCCGCAAGTCACATTAAGTTCAATTGATGTCAAAACCTCAAAATTATTTCCGGCAATAATTGTTTATCCCAAAAAAATACAAGTTTTTTCTCTCCATCTCCATGCGTCTCAGGCGAGAAGATTAAGGAAATTCGCGGGAAGATAGCAACAACAACAATTATGTAAAATTAGGAGAAATTACTTTACTTCCGCTGAACGAAAACCAAAAAACAAAATAAACGGATGAATCTATGGATAAACCACAATCAAATGAAGATGAGCAAAACAAGGCAACGCCGTAATCAACAATCAGCCATCCATCCATCCGCACCATCCGCCAAGCGATGAAATTAATTTGCAATCAGACAAAGCGCAAAGCACACACGCTCACTTGCACGACGACGACGACAGCAGCCACACACGAATTGAAATTCACACCAAATATTGTTAATGGCATGGAAAATAATTTTCAAATGGTTGATGTTTTTTGTTTTGTTGTTGGGTTTTGATTTTTTGTTGGTTAACTGTAATGCAGAAGTTGCGTGATTGAGTTGTGAATTTTGGTGTGCAAACATCAACAGTTGCACCAAACAAAAATGCTGAGCCATTTTTTGGCCACAGTCAACTCCAAAAGAAGAAAGGTGAGCCAAGAAGTAAAATATTGCAGTTGTTTTACCGGCAAATAGCCAATGCCGCAATGAAGCCTAACAGAATAACAAAGATGGGTTTCCACTTAAAAAAATATTCAGCGATAAGTTTGGAAAACAAGTTTGCCACAACCACAGCCCCGCAAAACAAAAAACGAAAAATTGGCAGTTAATTTGAAACAAGAAAATGCAACCAAAGGAAACAGAAAACCAAAATAAATTGGTAAGTTTTTTTGCCATGCCAAAATAAAATTCATCACTTCAGTCTTGCAATATTTTAAGAAGTCCACACAAAAAGCACACATTGACTAGCCAAGGATGTTTCAATGGCGCACGCGTGTCTTTACACGCGACGGCTGCATAACATTTACAATTTACAAAACTCCTGCAAAACAAGTTCTGTTTTATTTTTGTGTGTTTGCGGAGGCAAAGGCAATTTACCTTCACCTTCAACAAAACGGCCAACACTCGAGGCTAGCCGTAGGCCGAAGACCGGGTTAAGAAAAAAAAAAACATCAACACGCCAACTAACTATCTTTGCGAATGACTAACCGACAGGAAAAACTTGTTCTTGAAGTTGCAGTCTGCAACCACCAGCAACAACTGCCAGCCACTATAATGGCAGAAGTTGCACCAGACGACGGCAGCAACTCTCAATTACACAAATACAACAAACTGCAATGCCGCTGCCGTTTCGTTTTTAAGGAAGAAATAAACATTTAAGGCCATGGTCACTGTACGTTATACAGCGCACTTATTGGCTTACTCTAATGATCACGCAAATCTATAGACAAATTGGTCAGGGGACACTGTTTCCTTGGGTGAAATGATATTATTTTATTATTTAACAAAAATGGTATAGCAGCCCTTGACAAACATGAAACCTAAAGACCTCAACGCGCGTTTAAACTTTTATAGTGATGTTATGATGATATCTCAATTTACTTAAATATAAATCGATTTAATTTCAATATAAATTCTACTTAAAGTACATTTACATATACGATTTTAAATCGACTCGATTAACGAAATCCAGAAACACATCTTTAATCGCGATCTAAATGTCAATCAGATGATGTATGGCACAATAAATAGGTAGTCCATTTAGCGCAGCTGATGTCTCGATTAACTGTCAAAGTGGCCAATTTTACTTGAATTCGATGTGCAAAGTTGCCAACCATGTGAAATATTATAAAAAAATTGACAGATGGTCGAGACAAAAACAAAGGTTTTTGTTTTGATACATGACCTTATTATTGCATCATGGTCTGATGTACAGTTGAACATATATCAATTAAATGTACAATTGAACACAGATCAATTCCCATTAGAATTGAGGATATTGGACAATAAAAATTGCTACAAAACTTATTATACCAGTGAATTGTGAATGTATACCTAAACAAATAACAGCTCACTGCCAAGGATAGTCTAGTCCATGGCTCAATAAATATGTTCTCCATTCGTTGAATTAATTTCTTGGGATCCATCTATGTGGTGTTAGAAGGCACATGAATGCCATCGATGTAACCTACAACCCCATGAATTTTGTGCAATTTCTCGGAATCTTTTCCAGCTCTAGTTTGGTATAGGGATACGTAGTCGAGCGCAAAATTAAACTTTTCGATTTTTGCAGAGTGCGCAAAAATTCACTCGCGAATGACTCAAAATACATTCTTTTCGTTTTGTTGGACTTTTGGACATGTGTTTTGTTATTCCACACACTTTCTGCCACACACACATTCTTTCGTTGTTTGTGTGTGTTTACTTTTTTTATGATATTTTTGTTTGTTGTTGTTTTTAACAGTGCACCCAAACATTTGCGAACATTTGTTTTTTGAGTTTTTCAAAAGAATGTTCTTCAGCAAACAAATGCTCGCGAAAGAATGAATCGATGACGCTTGAAGCGAAATTTTATCGTTCGTGAATTTTTCGTACAATGCGAACATTCGCGAGAGATTGCAAATATATTGAAAACATTCGAATTCTCGCCATGATCATTCGTGAAAAAGAGTGTATTTTAAACATTCTTCGCACCCTGGATTTTTGCTTCTCACCACATTTCAATTTTTGCCTTTGACAAAAAAGTCGATCTTGAAAAATCGACTTTGCGATTTCATCAAGGATCAAAAGTCGACTTCGACTTTTAGACCAAGATCTATTAATAAGGTCACCAAGATAGCAATCGAAATCGGAAAACAGCTTTTTTTTCAAGTCTAATGTCAAAAATTTCGACTTTGTTTACGTTTTCATAATGGAAGTCAATTCACAATAATGCATTTTGACAGCAAACTTGAGAACCTTATTTATAGGCCATGTTTTAGACTTTTCAATACAAAAAGTCGATTAATCGATTTACTTATCCCTATTTAGGTATCCACTTTAAGGGAAAAAACACAATGCGGCACTCAACTTTATTATAGCCGGATAACAAACTGTTTGTGGAGAAATGGAATGCCAGTCTACTTACCCTGTAGTATTTCAAAAATATTTAGTAGAATAAATGTATAAATATTGTTGCATTTTTCTATTCTATAAGTTAAATATTTATAATGATTGAGGCAGTTCTAGATGATAATTTCCAATCATTTTAACTTTCGTTAGTAAATTTATAATAAGGGAACACAAAGTAAGATTAATAAAGTAATATGTTCTCGTTTATTTCTCTCGAATTATTCATGATCGGAGTATCCAATCCGCGAGAAAAAATATTTTTCTTGAGTATCTAACTCATTTCGGATATTTATGATTGAACTGATAGTTTCTACTTGAATTCGACGTGCAGTGTTGCCAACCATGAGAAATATTACTAGATACAATTTGACAGTTGGTCGAATAAAAAACCGATGTATTTGTTTTCATACATCTCCTTATTATCTAGTCCATGGTCATCATGGTATAGTCCATGGCACAATATATAAGTAGTCCATTTAGCGCAGCTGACTATTCGATTTACTGCCAAAGTGCGTACTTTCTACTTAAATTCGAAATTTACAGATGGTCGGGACAAAAACGAATGTTTTTGTCTATCTAGTCTATTTAAAAATGAAGTCGCGCTTTAAAACATAAAACATATAAAAATAATACTATTGAAAACAAACCTCTGCCGCTGTTATGATTCTATAGTATTTAATCGGTTGGTGTCATTGTGCTGAGACTACAACAGAATCTATCATATGTTTGTGGCTATACACATATCAGCTGGCAATGTTAACATCAATCCCATTGTAAACTGTGTAATTCCACCATATTGGTGAATAAAATTTCAAGTGCCCATTGACAAATCTCCCTGCTTTTTACTCTCCCAACCACTATAACCATAAACAAATGGAGTATAGCACTTTGTTAAAATAATAAATGTGACATTGACGCCGGGCAGTCAGCAGCACATGTGCCATATGCAACATTACGAGGCATGCAACCAGACGCTGGACAGGTTTATAAAAACATTGCGTAAACAACTCAGTGTTTTCGCGGCTATTATGGCCACAGCGGTGGGCTACTACTTATTTTTCTTGAATTTCATTTTCATTGGAAAAACATTAGAAGCCAGCCGAACGAACGCACACACGCACAAACAGTATCCCAAGATAACAGAAGAAAATAAAAATCGAGTTTGTTGTCGTTTCACTTTCGATTTCTTCAATGTTCGGTTAATGTGAAGCTATCATGAAATGTCGTTTATTTTTAGCCAACAGCTTGAGGTAGGTAGGTACGCAGCACACACACAATATGTGGAGTAATTGTGGGAGGGATGACAAAGTCAAATTATGGTGGTGGCCACCACATATGTTTACATTTTTTGTTTTCTTTTTTTTATTTTCTTAATTGTTTGTGTTTTCTTTTTCACTTCTAATTGTTTAATTGCAGAGATTGTATTGTAGCGTGGCAAATTTGTCACACATTGTGATTTGGTGTGCGGGTCGGTCTGTGTTTCTTTTCATTAATTCGGTAGGTGGTGATTCCAAAAAATAAAAGAAAACTGTACAACATCTAATGTAATGTTATTTATGGTGGTCATTTGTATTAACCAATTGTGAG